AAATATTAATACACATTAATGAATTATTAATCACAAAGGAAAAAATTAAAAATTTTCAGTAGAGAAACCTGGCAGACACAACCTTAACCAAGTTAATGAGGTTAATGTCATCAGTTAAGAAAACAAATAAATCTTATGTGCCTTCTGATATAATGCAACAAGAACATATTACTTCTGTGGTACTCCTGCCAAAAATGAGTAACACAAATCTACTCATGAACAAACTTCAGACAAATTCAAATGAAAGGGCATTCTACAAAATATCTGGCCTGGTCTTCAAAACTATCAATGTCATAACAGACAACCAAAAGCGGAAGTAAGTACTCCATATTAATTAACTAAAGAGACCTGACATATGAATGCAATTCATGATCCTGCATTTGAATCCAGACTGGTAAAAAAGAAAAACCCGCTTCAGAAAGGACAGCACTGGATCAACCGAGAAAAGCTAAATATGAGTGTGTATTAAACAGTATTGTAACAATGTTAATTCCCTGATTCTCATCATTGTACTATAGTTATATAAGAGAATGTTTTTGTTCTTAGAAAATAAACAATGAAGTATTTAGTAGTAAAAGGATTTGATGCCTCTAACCAATTTTTAAAAAAGAAAAAAAATAATAAAATATATATTGAGATAGAGAAAAAGAGGGAATGAGTGAGAAGATCGCTTGAGCCCAGGAGTTTGAGGTTGCTGTGAGCTAGGATGACGCCACGGCACTCTAGCCCGGGCAACACAGTGAGACTCTGTCTCAAAAAAAAAGAATTTGACATTGTTATGAATATCTGTCTTAAACTATCCTATATCCATATCTTTACAAAGTAAGAGTTTTAGCATTTTTGTTTAGACTAGAAACTAGGAATGTATTTTGATTTTTAAAAAATAAAATAGTGAATTATAAACACTAAAATGAGTGTATATTGTAATACCTTTCAGGAATGTGTTTTGGAATTTCTATGTCAAAGGACTTCATGTGTAAGAGTCTGATCCCTCCTTCCATCTTATTTGCTGCCACTACATCACAGGCGAGTTCATACATGGTCTTGGATAACTCACAGGCATACACAGAATGTGCTCCAGCTTTTTTAGCAAACATGCTACAAGAGAAAAAAGTGTTCCATCAAGAAAGAAATAATCCACTGTATTTATTTTATTTTAATGGAATTATGATGTTCTTGAGCCCAGGAGTTTGAGGTTGCTGTGAGCTAGGCTAACGCCACGGCACTCACTCTAGCCCGGGCAACAGAGTAAGACTCTGCCTCAAAAAAAAAAAAAAAAAAACCCATACCAAGCTAGTTAACTCTACACTCCCTTTTGATAATTTGCCAAAATTCCAAGCAGTGAGGGCTGTGAGACTGAAAGTACCTCCCTTTCTTAACCCTACTCTAGAATTCCATAGTTAGTCCCTCCACAAAGTAACCTCAATTCCTTCCTGGAGTATCTTTTTCCTGTACACCTTATTTGGGCATACAAACATACACTGCACTGTTATTAAATGTTTTTTGCATGGATTTCTTTCCAACCACACGGCATCTACACGTTGACAATGGGAAATACATTTCATATTGCTTAGCAAATCAAATTTAAGTATTTTTACGCTGCTTACCTTTGGCTGCAAAAGTAAATGCTCCCATGCATGAATCAAACTCTCCACAATTCCTTCTCCAAATAAACCTGCATCGACAGTTTCTGTTACAACTAGGGACACTCTATAGAATGATTTTTTAAAGATATATGTAAGTAAAATATCATGCTATTATATAAAGATGTCAAGAAGAGAGAGTAGTATATTATAGAAACAGTCCATATGTAAAATTTTCTAATATATTTCATTTTTAACATCTGCCCCTGAGTCTTGAGGAACTTGACTCCAACGTTCCTCAGGCTCCTCTTGTTCTCCACTCGCTCCTTTCCCTTGATTTGGTAGGGTGGGAGGGGAGCGAGACAACCTTCACCGGCTCTGTTGCCTCCTCAGACTATTCTTTCATTGCCTAAATCCGTAAGAGTGGTTCATGCCCATTACCTTTATCACTCCCCCTTCTTAATGCTAAGTAACTGGATTTCTATTATCTCATACTCTATAAATATATTCTCTATCATCAAGGACTCCCTGCTTATCAAAATGAATCCTCTTTCTCAGTTGTCATTTTTCTTGGTCTACAAATAAAATTTTATGCAGGTGAAAGCCCTCCCTCTCAAATCCAATCTGTCCCTTCTATGATACTACGTCATTCATGTCTGCCTCCTAAACCTCGACTGTGCCTCTCTTGTCACTTATCTAGCTTTACCCACTACCTGTGAGTTTTCACAAAATCCTAGCCCAGAGCTCTGCTCTTCTGTCCATTCTTTCTTTCTAGAAAATTTTCTCAAAGATACACCAAAATAATTTCTCCCTTCTCTGAACTCCTTTAGCACTTATTGCCAGTATCATTCATTTGTGTAGTTAGAAGAAAAGTTTCATAAATATTCTTTATCTTCCTATCTAGACTGTAGATCCCTTGAGGTCAAGAACAACTTTGATATCCCCCACAGTGCCTAAACTCAATATTACATATACAGAAAATACTCAATATTTATGACTGCATACATTTAGAATGTAGAGGGTGTTTCAAATCATCTAGTACAATATCTTGAAGTCTAGGTATTTGCTTAAGGTCAAAATGAATAGAGTATGAACTGGAATCCATATCTCCTGATTCAAAGCCAGCAGATCTTTCTACAACATTACCTGAGAGAAAAATGCAGATCATATTAAGGTAACTTTGATTCATGCTACGGACTAACTTGTATCTGCCCACCTTCGTTCCCCCAAACTCATGTTGGAGCTCCAATACCCAAAGGGACTATATTTGGAGATAAGATACTTTTAGAAGATAAACAGGGTCAATGAGATCATCAGGGCGGGGCCCTAATCTAATAGGACTGGTGTCCTTATAAAAGAGAAAGTGATACTGGAGATCATTCTCTTTCTACACACACAGAGGCAAAGGTCATATGAAGACACAACAAGGCAGCCATTTGCAAGCCAGAAAGAGAACTCTCACAGAAAATCAAATTTGCTGGTAACTTGATCATGGACTTCCAGCTTCCAGAACTGTGAGAAAATAAATGTCCATTGTTTAAACCACAGTCTGTGGTATGCTGACAAGTGGACTAAGGCAATTCAGAAAAGTGTTTTTTTCCTATAAAATGGGGATAATATTTGCCTTAACAATCTAATAGGACTTCCTTCATGAGAACAAATGTAGAGACCATTAAAAAGTATCAGCACTGGCAAACATAAATATTATTATATACAGAAGAAGACTTTTTAAAGTCATAGTTCAAATAACAGTAAGAGTACAAAAAGTTCTCTTTCAATATAAACTGAATTTAAGTAAGATGAGAAGATCAACCCAAGAGAGGTAGTAAAGTAAATGCTATATAAAGAAAACTCTTTCTCTAAAATGATAGTGTTGGACCAGATGATTTTTAAATCCCTTCTAGCTCTAAAATTCCATCACCCTTGTGATATGAACCACGGTAAGATGACAAACTAAAAAGCCAAGACTTAAACGATTATATTCAAATAATTTATAGGGCTCAGTCGAAAATACATTGACAGCTGACACTTCCAAAGCTTTCATTTTAAACAAGGATATTAACACAAAAGGTGATAAATCCATTAAGTCTAATCTCTTCACGTCTTGTTTTTATGTAGCTATTGACCACACAAGATGTATTATCCATTTTTACAAACTAGAACAATGAAATTAACATAGGTTAAATAACTTGCTAAAGGTCAAGTTTATTTATTATATTCCTTGCCACAAATTTTCTCAAGATATTTAAATATTTTTAATAAAGAA